AGATTTTGGGAGTAATAATAGTTATTGATTTTATTAATGAGTTTAAGTCTTCCGCATTACTTTATGTTGATATTACCTTGAAATGTTAAGGTTTAGATTGGTTGGTTCGCTCACATAGGAGGGTAAGAGTGGGTGCCAGTCGCGGCCCGGATTTGGGTCGTGACAGGAGCGTGGCTATTTTTTTCATTCCACCAAGAATTAATTAATTTAAGCAAGGTAGAGGACTCCGTGAAGGCCCCGGGTCGCGCTATCAAGTAAGTATTTTGGTTTTTTCATTAAAAAGAGGGGTTTGACGCGTCTTTCTACAAAATACCCAACCCAAGACGTTTTATTCTCCCCACTTATTCCCTTGTAAATTTGTACGGTTAGATCTGTAACGCGATGCCATTCTCCTTTTCTATTGTTTTCCATCTCCCTTAACATCTCAGGTATGTTCTCCGCTTTACTTTCTCGCGATTATTGATTTATGTTTCCAGGAAATTTAATTCAGTTCTAAGCATTAACGATCATTAATTATTATATAACCCAACTACATGAGTTGGAATCATTCCCACAAGGAGAAGTACATGTTTTGAGAATTAATCGAAAAGTATGAATCCAAATCAGCATAGGAATAGACATGTACGAATAAAAACATATTTCAAATAAGGGATGACACAAATGTCAAATAATAGAGGAGTTTCATCTCAAATTATGAACTACAACAAGAACAAATAATATGAAATAACAATAATGAGACGGGTTCTTGGGATTCTATTCGATTATAGGCTAATTTAGACAAATGGGTAATTGAAACTGTTAGAAAATAGTTGTATGTTAGTGACTAAGCTAGACTATAGACGAGATAAACTTTCTCTTAAACAATGTAGCCCGAATCTAGTCAGTTTCTCTCAAACACCAACAAGCAGCAATGAGGAACAACCAGCGCTTTAGTCCATTCACTCTCTCGAGTTGAATGTGTGGAAAAAGGTTTTAGGATACACTCTCTCGAGCTGAACCCATGACAAGCCAATACACACAAACCATTATTCAATAATCTTGATTTTAGAACCTCTCTCTCGAGCAATCCAAAAACATGAAGGTGGAATTGCATATACAACTACAATCCTTTAAATTACACCATAATTACTGAATGAAATCACTTCTAAACAATATTTAAACTAATTGTTAGCAATACTCATAAACTAAATCAACCCATAATCACATAATCACAACCCAATAATTGAGAATTTAGCTAGACATCATAAAAAGATAAAAATAGTTACCAAAGTGTGTTCCCATAAATTGGGTAAGATTATTTTCGTCTTCATAAAGGTCCAAATTAAAGAATCTCCAAGATCCACTTTCAATTTCTCAAAAATGGAGAACTTTCATTCTTCAAAGCTAAGGAAAACTTAGTCGCAAGACTAAGAGTTCAAACTTAAAAATTACTCTAATGACTCTTCAGAATTAGCTTTGATACTAAATATAATATTTTAAAATGTACTTATAGTCGTAAAAAATATGTCCTGAAAGTTCAATCGCATAGTAAGTTGAGATCACCAATCAGTTCGGCGATCCGTCGTTTGGTAATTTTCATTGCCTTTTTTGCTTTAACCTTCAGCATCCTCAAGTTCTGTAACTCTAGGAGATTCAACACTGCATCACGGAACCACTCGGCGACACGCCGACTACTTCTTTCTTTTGCCAACTTGATTTTGTCCTTCAGGGCTCGCACACTGGAACTTTGGGCGAGATGGTAGTCATTCGGCAATTCGTCTAATTGATTAGGCGATCACCAAGCCCTCTTTTCTTTGTTCTTTCAGCTTCCTTGTTCCTTTTTGCCTATTAGTGTCCATGCTTTGTTACTCAATACATATACCTGGAAATAAAGGGTTTTACATATGTTATTAGCACAAGAAAGCATTTGAGGACACTAAACCGCTCTAAATAGGCCCCAAATGAGTCCAATCTTGGAGTCATCAACACCCCCAACTTAAACTTTTGTTTGTCCACAAGTAAACATCAAGTTCAGTATTTCACAAGGATGCATCAAACAATGCTACAGACGACTCAATCATGAATGCACACAACATGAAATTACTAATGAAAAGATAAATTGTGCACTCAAAGATTCAAGTTGTGACTCACCATCATCATAGATTCTCAAGTTTGCAATATTTGCTTCAAATGCAAGTTCAATCTCAACAAAGGTGCTCAAATACCCTCACACAAAGAATTATTCCATATCAACACACTATTTTCACAGTTTATAGTTTCGGAATCACAATAAACACTCATAGTCACAAAAATAAACACATGCATGACCTCACCCATAGATTTGCTCTTATTTTCCAATAAACACTTGTTTCAGTTCACTCAAGATCAAAAAGGTCTTTTTAAGGCTTGTAATGGGGTTGAGTGTAAGGGTATGATCATTTAGGGTCAATGACTATAATCTTCATGAAATGTGGTGTGAACAACTCATTCTTTCATTTTTCATGTACAGTTTCATTCATGCTCAAAATTCACTCTTTAATTCCTTTTCCATGGTATGTTGGGAACCCAATTTCTTTTGCAACTTTATTTCACAACTTTGTCATTCCTTTTCTTTTTTTCTTTTTTTCTTTTTTTTATATGGGGGTCCATCTTTTTCAAAATCATGAATCAAAGGGTAATTATTTTTTTATTTCTTAATTTATATTCTCTTTTCACCACACTGCCAACTTTTTTTTGGCCTAAGTTGGCTATTCAAACGAACCACATCTTATGAGGATTATGGGTGAAGGGATAAAACAAGGTCATAATTGTACAGGTTTACCACAAAAGAGGTATAATGTCAAATCATTTCACTCTTCAATAGTTGCCTAAGATCATTCAAAGAGATTGCACCACTTAGTCAACCGGACCAATGGGGAAAATTCTAGGTATCATCACAAATAATTCATGGTAAGATCATCACACAAGGCATTCACACCAATGTCAAACAAGACTCCATACTTTTGCCAGTGTGCAATGTTCATCACAAGAGACTCGATTTGATAATCGGCTAGTCATAACGAGATGCAAAAAGTTCACATATTGTCTATGTAAGTTAATTTGGCCTCATCAAAGAAGCACAATAATTTTGTTCGATTATGAGAAGTATTTAAGTCATCGATATTAATCAAGACCGATGCTAAAATTTCCAAAAGAACTGTCACTACCAAACACATTAAGATGGACAAACTTTTTCAAAAAGGGGCAAAAAAATTTACATTCAAAAAAAGTAGCCACAAGCTCAAACATCAACAAATGCAGTGCCAAAACACAATTTATAGCGCAAAATACAATATTTGAGCAGGGCAATAATCAAAAAAAGTGAGCCTCACCCCACCACAAAACAAAAACAATTTGTCCTCAAATATAAGAAAAATATCTAAAAAGTACATAATGATGAAAGAGAGGGAGATAAAGAGGGATCTTTTCTATGTAATCGATTTATTTGTCAGGGCATCAATGCCTGGTGCATCGCTCTGATCTTGGGTTTTATTCCTAGAGTCACATCACCAGCACTACCAGCTCTACTAGGGCCAACTAATGGTGTGTTTTCCAAAGAAGTCTGCACAGTCGCATCTACCATGACCTCCTAAATCTCTGTAAGGCTCTCATAAGAGGCCTCCTCATCACCACCAAGTCGCTCCTCATCGTCTCAACCTTAGACTCGGGATCATCTACCTCCTCAGCTCAAACAAACATTTTCTATAGAAGTCGGAGGCATATCTAGATCAACTGGCACATTTGGGATCTCCATCTTCTCGAAAACTATAGACATGTCGATAGACTTTAGCTGGTCCACACCTCTCCTAAGTGCAGCAATAGCAGCCTTTAGAGTCATCACCTCCTTGTTGTCCCCTTGGCCACTCTCGCACACTACTATCCTAGAAGCAATGACCTCAATTGTAGCACTCAAAGGTGTCACAACATTAGTGAGTGTTGTCTGAATCAATTTGGAAAGTATGGGCCCATGAGGCTTGGTAATGAGATAGAATTTTTGAGACCTCAGACAACTAATGATCTTCGAGTACCTATCAATTACTTCATCAGTAGAGAGAGTCTTCTCCTCTGTGATGGTCCTCAAATCCTCGGTCTTTAGTGTGTTCATAGACAGTCAAGGCGGACCTTGTACCAATGGTTCTAGGACCACAACTTGTGTTAACTGGAGTATGAGAAGTAGTTTGAGGGATCGTGATCCTAGAAGGATAATTTAGACTCTTGGAACGCAACTCCACTCTCAAGGTTGCTAGTAGCTCATCTTCAGTCTTAGAAGTTGCAATTTGGTGCTCCTGATGCTTACTGTCACTCTCATAAGTAGTAAGGTGAGTAGCATAGATACCGTCACTATCAAAGTTGGACTCCGGTGTCGTAGGTTCCTTTCCTTTTCCCTTTACCTTCCCACCTGTCGTAGGACTTTTGGTGGTCTTAGCCCTGGATGCAGTTGCATCCTCATTGATTGATATTCTCTTGTCCCTCTTGCGAGGTAGCATGTCTGTACCGGCCACTTTTGGTCGAGTCATGTCTGCAAAAACATAACGACAATTACAAATAGTTCACGAAAATGAAAAAAATAATAGTTGGAGAAAAACTCACTGAACCAATCGGCTAGTCGCTGAATCTCGTTGGCGAGTCATATCGGGCATGCCGAAAGGATAGGATAAAAGATTCCAAAAAATTTTGCATGTCGGTGATGGGAAGGATCTTTTGGTGAATCACTGAAACATTGAGCGAGCAAGGACTAGACCGCCAAAAGTTATAGTGCTTACATGGATTAGAGGCGCAGAAAACACAGTCAAAGAAGAGTTTCAGCGAGTTGCCGAGTGCACTCAGTGAACTCAGGCTTCTCGACAAAATTTATAGTTACTAACTTTAGATTAAACATGAAATTGAAGACGATTAGGGGAATTCAGCCAAATATCGAGTGGTTTGGCGATCTTGACCTAGATCTTCAAACGGTCTAACATGCTACTTTCAGCCCCAACATCCAATTCAATCCTGCAACCCCAAACACAAATTCAAATTAAGCAACCATACACTTAAACTAAGACCCATACTACCCATGCCCCTGGGATACTCAGACTTTTCTTGGTTTGGCCAAATTTAGCCATTTAACGACTTTTGCCCTTAAAATGATGTCAACTGCTCCACATTGGGAAAATTACTTCATTTGGCAAAAATGCGGGTTACTTAGACTACACTAGACTAGACCCAAAAACATTTAAGCAACACCTAACATTTTAAATCACTTTTAAGGCACAAAAGATTCGGGAAATCAACAATAAAAGCATTATAGTATTAAAACAGGCACACACATACACAATTATGAACAAATAGGCTTACTAAGATAATTATCATTACGTATGAGTACAATCGCTATAATTATAAATTCAAGGTTTGGAAAACCAACCATTTATGTTGATTAAAAACTTCGAAAAGCTAGACGGAAAATAAATCCAACCAACCATTTATGTTGATTAAAAACTTTGAAAAGCTAGACGGAAAATAAATCCAACTTCGAACAAACAAATGACGACTAGAAAGCGATAACAACACAAAATAAAATGAAAATATAGTGCGGGCCTGAGTTTGGAAAGTTGAAAAGTGAGGGAATGTAAAAGATTTTGAAACTTTTGGCCTTTTAAAATCGTATCGCTGACCCACTGGATGACACGCCGAGTGGGCACTTACCTCGCCGAGTTTTATAGGACCCTATTTAATCTGACGTCCAAACGACAAATAAAATCGTGATACTGACTTGGTCGGCGATTCACCAATCTACTCAAGGCTTGTTGAGTTTTACATACTCCACTTTCAAAATTTCTCGAGTCCAATGACGGTCCAAGTTGGGTTCGCTGACCTCTTTGGCGAGTAACCAACTAGACTTTCAGCTCACCAATCTCCACTTCTCAAACACATTCCAAACTTCTACATGCACAATTAACACACATTATTTCAAAATAAAAATTAAAGCGATAAAACCTTGGGTTGCCTCCTAAGAAGTGCCTTAGTTAGGATCGTGGTATGACATAAGTTCTCACTCAAACTTCATTCTTGGGGTTTTCCATAGTGTTACTAGGTAATCCACCTTGTTGTCTCGGGTTCAAATGAGACGAAATATGACCCATTTGGGTATCCAACTACTTGATAGAGACGGAATGAGAGGTAATCGTCTTGTTATGGGTCGACTTATCTTCCTTCCTTCATTTTAAAATATTGTCAGACCCTTCAACTTTAATACAAGATATCATATTCTCAGACCGACCACCCTCGGAATTCATTGGCTTTTGGCACTCATGGGGAGAAACATATCTATCATTCTCCCTATCTCTCTCTTTACAAGTTGGGTTTTTACGATCCCTCCACTCTCTATCACGATCCTTCCAACCTTCATCCTTGTTCCAACCTTGATTATCACCCTTCCTCAAGTAGTTTTAACAATAAACACCTCCTTGGTTGGTTATAAAATTTACCTCCTCATTGTATAAAGACTCAAACTTGGCCTCATCAGAATTAACACACATGACACTCACAACATTGACACTTCGACCACTAGCTCCCATGAAATTTTAATAAAATGTCAAGTTCTGTCATGATCTTGGCCATGTTTTGGTCCCTCTCTTGTTATTTGTCCAACTACTCCTTAGTCAATTTAAACGTGAAAGGGGAGACCTGATATTTGCGGGTGTACCAAGCCCGATTAGTTGTGGTCATACCATCTAAAAATTGCGTTGCTATAATGTAAAGTTGTTGTATCAAACCTCCTAAAGAGAGTTGGTTAGCTACACCCTTGTTCACTGATCAAGGCTTCGGTGAAAATATTGTAGCAAAACATTGTCAAGCAAACCATGAGGTTGGCATTAAAGCACGAACTTCTTGAATCGTAGTCAAGTCTCATGAATTGGATCACCCTCCAAATGCTTAAAGGTTTGAATGTTTTCCTGAAGAGACATCATCTTCAAATGAGGGAAAATCACACTTGAAATGCGGTGACAATCTCTTCCGATGAACTGATTGAGTCTCGTGGCAATTCATCCAACCACTTACATGCTTCTCCCATCAAAGAAAATGGGAGCAACCTCAACCAGACCTACTCTTGGGATATATTTTTGAAGTAGAACGGCCCGCGTATATCAACAAAGTTTCTTAAATGTTCATGGGAATCCTCATGAGCTAACCCACCGAACAACCCTTTCAATTGCAATATCTGCAACATATGGTACTTGTAATATGGAACACAACGTACCATTCCGCCGGAGGCAAGCGAAAGGCACAAATTCTACCCTTTAGATGGGTCATTAGCATTAGGCTCATTAACATTGTTGACGTTTTTGATGTCATCTTAGTGACCTACTTGGCTACCATTGCTTCCATTCACACTCATAATTCCTAGTTCAAAATACAAATAAGCAAACCAAAACTAAAAGTAAGTAGATTTAACCATAACTAAGAAGAACAAAATTCAACTTAACTAAATATTCTCAAACAACACTACTCCCCGATAGACGCACCATTTTGATTTATGTTTCAAGGACACTTAATGTAGTTCTAAGCGTCAACAATCATTAATTAGTATATAACCTAACTAAATAAGGTTTGATCATTCCTAGATGGAGTGGTACGTGTTTCGGAATTAATTGAAAATCATGATTTTATTCAAATTAGCCATAGGAATAGACATTTACGAATAAAAACATAATTCAAATAAGGGGTGACACAAAATGCCAAATAATGGGGGCATTTGGTTTCAAATTAACAACTACAATAGCAGCAAATAATACCAAATAGCAATAATACGGGTTCTTGGGATGTGATTCGATTATAGGCTAATTTAGAAAATGGGGTAATTACAACGGTTACAAAGTAGTTGTATGTTAGTGACTAAGGCAGACTAGGTAAACTTTCTCTAGAACAATTTACCTTGAATCAAGTTGATTTCTTCCGAACACCAGCAAGCAATAAAATAGGAACAATTTGTACTTTAGTCCATTCACACTCTCGAGTTGAATGTGTGGAAAAGGGGTTCCGAATTCACTCTCTCAAGTTGAATATATGACAACCCAATACACATAGACAATCAGTTCAATAATCTTGGTTTTAAAACCTATCGGCCAAAACTCGAAGGTAGAAATGCATTTGCAACTACAATCCTTTAAATTAAAACACAATTATTGAATGACGTGAATTCTAAACAACATTTAAACTAAACATTAGCGATAACCATAAACTAAATCAACCCATAATCACATAATCACATCCCAAAATTAGGGTCTTATCTAGACATCATAAAAAGATTAAAAAAAAACATTACCAAATTGTATTTCCATCAAATGGGTAAGATTAACTTCACTTTACAAAGGTCCAAATTTAAGAATCTCAAAGACCCACTTCCAATTTCTCAAAAAATGAGAACTTTAATTCTTCAAAGCGAAGGGAAACTTAGTCTCAATACTCAGAGTTCAAGCTAAAAGACTTACTCTAATGATTGTTCAGGATAAAATTTAACACTAAACATAATGTTGAAAATGTATTTATAGTCGCCAAAAATATGTTGTGAAGGGTTATTCGACGTAGTAAGTTGGGATCATCGATCAGTTTGGCGATCCGCCCTTTGGTCATTTTCATCGCCTTTTTGCTTTAGCCTTCATTATCCTCAAATTTTGTAACTTTAGGCAATCTAACACTGCATCGCGGAACCACTCGGCGACACGCCAACTATTCCTTTCTCTCTCCAACTTGATTTTCTCCTTCAGGGCTTGGCACACTAGAACTTTGGGCGATATGGTAGTCATCCAATGACTCGCCTGATTTATTAGAAGATCAATGGGCCTTCTTTTCTTTGTTCTTTCAACTGTTTTTTTCCTTTTTTCCATTAGTATTCATTATTTATTCCTCAATCCATATACTTGAAAATAAGAGTTTTACATCAGTTATTGGCACAAACAAGCATTTGAGAACACTAAAATAGTATAAATAGGCCCCAAATGAGTCTAAATCTTTGACTCATCAATTTTTAGTTATGAAAGAAGGGTGGTGTTGCTTTGGTATAATTGTGTCAATGGGTGCTCATGGTTGCAATTTGTGGTGAACGTGAAGCATTATATCTGTTTTATAATGGTTAGTTCGAGTCTTGAGTAGAACTAACTTATTATTTGTTGAAATTGAGCAAAAGGTGATTTAAGGTTTAGATGTCCATGCTTGGAAATTCTATTTGGGTTGGGAACTTGGCACAGAATATTAGGTTTCTAAATATTCTTGGATATTTTGACTTGTTGAGTAGAAATTTTTCCTCTGCTTGATATTGGTGAGTCTTGTTGCAGATGGTTATTTGAATATGTTAGTGTTACACCAATTCGGTGATGGTGGCCGAATGACACTGTTTATCATGAATATTTATGTGGTGTACAGTTTTGAATAACAGTAAATATTATTGTTATGTGGAATAGTGCGTGTGAGTCTAAATCGTAGTGTAGGGGTTGAGTGTGTGTGACTGACAAGATGGTTCTTACTTGGTTATATGCATATGATAAATAGGTCGGTATATTAAGTGGAGGATGTTGCATTTTCACCCTTGGGAAGTCTGAGTACCAAGGATGAATCATTGCATGACATAAGTGTGGGATGACCTCTCCGCCTCACCCACAACTTATTGTTTTATGTATGTGCTTGTGTTGGATTATATTCCTTATGCATGTAGTCATTTCTGGAACTCAAAGACCCGGTAAGGAATTTGAACCTCTAGCTAGAAAAAGCGTGTTCGCAGGGGGGAAATCTACCTCCCGCACCTGCAGTACCCAGGGGTCAACCCAGGCGGTTCAGGGGTGTGAGCTTTGGTTAAGGAAGGGATAGCATGGTGGAAAAAGCACACTAAAGCTAGATATTTTTCTGATGTTTGCATTGACAGGGATAGCTTGCACAGGATTTTCCCCAAATCCCTAGGCGCATCCAGGAGCTGAAAATAAAGTTCATTTTTTGCGGACGAGTGA